TTTTTTTTTTTTTTTTTTTTTTTTTTTTTTTTTTTTTTTTTTTTTTTTTTTTTTGATAACGAAGCACACTTTCCGTGGAGGAAGAATGAAAGAATACAAGTCCACAAAAAGAGGGATTTCTTCTTGGTCCAATAAGCAAAATGAGACAGAGAAAATAATTTTACAAAAAGAATTAGCCATCAACGCCTAAAGAAAAACATAGAATCCAGCTAGAGTCCGAACATCCTTGTTGTCCCACTCTACCTCTCTAAAAAAAAGTACTATTATTTCTCTCTCCCCACCGCCCCATAAGAAATCCTAAACATCGGCATGCCATATGAATCTTCCCATCTCTTGGAACAGTAGTAGATGAGTGTAATCCCTCTGACAAGCAAACTGAGAGTCGAACCTCAAGTAACACCAAACAGCCCGAGCGAAGTCCTTAGTATTTCAAAGAATATGAATCAAGTCTTCTTCTGCTCTCCGACAAAGATTTTTCCTGATAGGTCCCTTGAGAGAGATAGAAACCACATGGATGATGCATCGATCCCATTTGTTTCCTTCAGGCTCATAATCATAATAAAACTCGACTCTTTCTCTGACCTTCCAAAATTCTCCATCTCTATTGTCATCCCTCCAAAGAACTAATTCTCTGTCCTTGATATAGTATAGAGTTAAATCTCACTTAAATTGTACAAATAAATAGTGTAAATCACAATAGATAAATATAAAACCACAGCTTTTTAATATTTGAGAAACAAATAAATAAATATAACATCAACCTTTTGAGATCTAAATTTCTCTAAACTTGTGTATATTTTCCCCATAACTCAATACGTGGGGGCTGCATCAGCACTATGATTCAGAAATGGACCAACTCGAAGGATGAGGAACCAAAACCGCGTGCCAGCCTCATGCTAAGTTCAATCTGAGCCGTTTACTTGTTTCCATCCAGGTTCATTTCTATCTTACTGTTTATTTATTTCATTTGCATACAAATTTTTTTAATGCTTTTCTTTTTCTTTACCACTCTCATTCTCTGCCCTTTTTGTTGAACAATATATAAAAATTGACATCATGATTACTTTTAATTGTTAAAAACTACTAAAACATTTTTTTTTCTTTTTAAAATGGAGTCGAGAGTACTTTAAAAAGTATATATTTTTTGGATTTATTGGATAAAATTCTGGATCAACTCAAACATATCTTATAAAATATTTTAAGATATCCCGCGTATAATCTAGTTCCATTCTACTTATATACATTATTTTTTAATATTTTTGTCATAAACATCTCTTTTAATATTATTTTTTTATTTCATAAAATTCTCTTTTGAAGATTAAAAAAATACCTCAATATTTCATATTATTTAATACTTCAGATTATATACATTATTTTTTATATGTATTTTAATTACTTTCTTATTTTATAAACTCTTTTTAGATACCTCAATATTTCATACTATATAATTATATACATTTAAAAATGTATGGCAATCAATATTCATGAATTATGCATATATTTAAATAATGAATAAAAAAATATATTGGGTTCAATATTCATAGATTATGCATATATTTAAATAATTTTAAAGCCTATTGTTTTTATTTTACTAATTTTTAAATGAAATGAGGAATAAATTTTTAAAGAAATTTTCACTTTTAATCTATCATTTTTTCTATTGGACTTTGTGAAAAGTAAATAATTTTAATCTGTCATTTTTTTGGTGGAAAGTAAATAATTTTAAATGCCAAATTTTATAAAAAGTTGCTCGTTTTAGCCTCAACTGTTTGAAAATTTTATTCTAAAATGAGATTTTTCTAATTTATTTATGTCTAATTGTATCATGCATAAATAAGTCTCTTTCAAAGTAAATTTTTTTGTAGTAGTTTTTTCATTGAAGTAAAAAAAAAAATTTTGGTGGTATTTTATTTTTGTTTTTCCAACTCGTGGAATGATTATGAATTTTGAATAAATAAAAGCTTTTTAAAAAAATTTGTTTTTTAACCACTCATAGAGAGTTGGTTGGGTTGTAAAAAATTTTGGGTTCATCCTAAGGTTAGAAAATAGTTTTTTATTTAAAAATAATAATAAACAAATAAAACTATTGTTTTTTTTTTTTAATATACATATATAGAATTTTGTTTAGTACAAGCAGAGTACGAAGTTTAAAACCTTAAACTTCGGTGAATACACGATAATAGGTTATGAGAGAAACAAGTTACAATCAAATTCTCATTTAGAAATATCATTAACAATCTCTCCTAGCTATGCACTCTTTAATTTTATATTCTTTTCCCAACTAAATATTTTATATTGTTTTCCCAACTGAAAGATAAGAGACAGATCAACAATTAAGATACATATTCTTTTCTCAACTAAAAGAAATCGTTAATATCATTTTGAGTTTAACTATAAGTTTTGTCTACTCTATATTGTTTATTCTATTTGCCTAGCAGTAAGGGGGAAAAATTATTTTGATTCTGGACATTTGAAATTAAAAGTTACAAGCCTTTCAAAATGCTAAAAACATTTAAAAAAATGTTAATAGAGAAATAACGTGTTAAGATTACTTCAAAATAAAAACCCTGCCTTCAAGTTTTATTTTTAAGTTTTAAATTTCTAATACAATTCCAAATAAATAAATAAAAAAACCCTAATATTTAAAATTATAGATAAATAAATTATTATAAGAAAAAAAAAAGTCTAATTACAATTAGATATTTAAATTTTAATTTTGTGTAAACTTTAAAAATATCTAATACATCTTTGAAATACTTAAATTAATATTTTTCTAAAAAATAATGTATCGATATAAAATTGAATTTGATGTCTAATAAGACTTTTAACCTCTTAACGCTTTGAAATGAGGGTTAATTTTAGACCATACTTAACATATCACCATTAAAATTAAAGATTTATTAGGCAATTTTAAAACTTCAGTAACTAAATTGTTCAAAAAAAAAAAAAAAAGAGTTATAATTTAATCTAATAAAAATAAAAATAAAAATAAAAGTGCAAAACTAAAATGGTAATAAAATAGAGAAGTTAAAAATGAAATGTATCTAATTGATTGTTACCTCATTCGTTAGGTTCCACTTCCATTGCATTACCTTGGGTTTTGATTTTATGCAGAGTACAATTGAGAAGAGATCAGCAAGGAATGAACGGGTATAGAGAGAAGAGGTATGGATGGAAACAAACCAGTGGCACAGCATTGCCTCGATTGCATGCTTTTTGCGTACAAATGTCATAGTTGACACCAATTAGCGTATAGTCAAAGTCACCGATGAGTCCACCTGAGAATTCGTTCCTATATATTATTTACTATAAAACAAAAATAGATAGGAAAATATCAGAAAGGCAAAAATAAGTTCCAATTCATAATTTGTTGCTAGCAGTTTAGTTTACATAGTCCTTGGCGTACAAAGTGCATAATGCATACATTTAATTATACTATCAACAAATTTTCGTAAATTATTTCTATTTCTGAAGTATAATAAGCAATAATTCAAATATTTAACTTTTTTTTTATCAATTTTCAAACAAATTTTTTTGACGAAGTACCCTAGACCTGCCCAAAGCAAAAGCAAATATTTTATGATTAGATAGATTTAGAAGTCTACCATTTGGGTTCGACAAACCTACCATTTGAATAATTGAATTGAGGCCATAAACACGCTCTACGACAAAGGTTATAAATTTTATCAAATAGACTAGATTCTTTAATTTAACTTTGTAGAATGTCTTATACAAATTCTTTATAGTTTTTCCATTTTTCTTATCAATTTCGATCAACAAGACTAAAGATACACTTATAATTCAAGAACTTCCACACGATAAAGAATCAACCCAAGATAAATTTTTGGAACAGATTATCTTTATGATCAAGATTAAGAGTAAAGAAAATTAGTTTGGAGACTCATAATTGAAATCACTACACAAAATACCTTAATCAAGTAAACCAACCACATGAATGACTATTTATAGCTTTAAAAATAAACATGAGAGTAACCCGTGGTGAATTAAAAGGTTGTAACTCTAATGTCCATCAATATCATAATGGTCACTAGCTCATTGAACTAAAAAACATACCATAAACCTTTCTTAAATCCAAAAGTTAATATCATAATGGTCCCTAGCTAATTGAACTAAAAAACATACAATAAACCTTTCTTAAATCCAAAAGTTAATATTCTAATAAGCTAACTTAGAGTTGGTAACCTCCAATAGTAATCGAAAGATAATTTGATATAGTTTGAAGTAGTTTGGCTTTTGTCGTATGAATGTTAGGAAACTATATTTTCATTTCCTAACTAACGTTTATAACCTCTATGAATGTAAACATCGATGTTCATTGTTGAAGAAATTAGCATGAAAGGAAAGAGAAAAACGAGAGAAGGAATGAACTTTTGTTAAAAAGGTAGAAAGATACACTTACGAGAAAAGATTCTTTCACGCTCTAACTCTCGCTCACTCACTTTTATACCTTTTTTATAGCAAGAGATACTTGGGTCCAAGCAAAGAGATTTTTCACTATTCTCTTCATGAATATAAAATATTCTAAATACTTCATTGAAAATCTAACATAAAATATCCTAAATACTTCATCGAAAATCTAACCTTATCTAAAAGATTCTAAAGATGGTTGAGAGGGAGTCACATTGGCTAATTAAAGAGATGATCGTGAGTTTATAGGTAAGGAGTACATCTCCATTAGTATGAGACATTTTGAGAAAACCAAAAGCAAAGCCATGAGAGTCTATGCTCCAAGTGGACAATATCATATTATTGTGGAGAGTCGTAGTTCCTAACATGGTATCAAAGTCATGCTCTTAACTTAGTCATGTTAATAGAACCCTCTAATGTCGAACAAAGAAGTTGTGAGCCTCAAATGTGTAGTAAAAAATGACTCAAGTATCAAACAAATGGTATATTTTGTTCGAGTGTGTACTTTGTTTGAGGGCTCTATAGAAAGGAGTCGAGAATCGATTAAGGGGAAGCTGTTCAAGGGCTCCATAGGCCTCAGGGGAGGCTCTATAGTATACTTTATTCGAGGGAAAAATTATTGGGAGAAAGTCCCAGAACAGCTAATTAAGGTAATTAAGGAGATATTCTTATTACTAAAGGTTATATATACTATCAAATCTCAATAAGAAATTAATCTTATTACTAAAGGTTATATATACTATCAAATCTCAATAAGAAATTAATCTAATTAATCTTGAAGTGTCATCCATTATGAATTTTCTTCCGTGTCAAGTAAGTTTCCTTTGTTTCCCGACGGAAAAGAAGACCTTCCAAAAACCAACGCATTAGCTCAAGGTAAGGACAAAATTCAAAGAGTTATTCTCTCTGTGAATATGGAGTATAGCTTAAGCAGGGTTTGACAATGGAGCTGTCCATTTTAGTGAGATATAATATCTAGAGTATATATTATTTATAGAATATATCTTATATATTATATTTTAATATATTTTATTTTATTCTCAGTATTTAATTATTTTATATTTTCCTCCTTTGTACTTACTTGTATCCTATTTAAAAATAGGATATCAATATCTATGGTGATAATATAGACCTTCTCAATTCTATTTCCATTTCTATTTTTCATTCTTAACACATTCCCATTTTGTCGAAGAGTTGTGCTGGATGTTTGACTCGCATTTAGGGGATGCCTTCCGACCAAATTAAAGTACGTTTTTTCCTGAAATTTTTAATGGAAAAGAAACCTAAGGATATCACAACAGTTCTGAAGACTTCCTAACAACTTCCATTCTTTACACCACCGACCTCGTTGAATAATTATCTCAAATATTTGGAAGTTTTTTTTCCTTTCTGGGAGACATACATGGCTTTAAGTTTGATTTCTTATAAGCCTTTCGTATTTTGTTTCATCTAATCAAAGTTTACTTACAGAAAAAGCTAACCAAGTAAGTCGAACAGCGCAACTGTTCATATAAGGCTTACAACAAATCTTATTTGCCCAAAGATATCATAACGTATAAACTACATAGGCATATTCAGATTCAGTTAATAGTAATCTACAAATGATGGAAAAACATTGAAGAATAACTTAGGCTTCCAAAACTAGACTACTAAGAAACAGTAAGATATCGAATTAATGAAAAGAACGTCTCTAAAATTTGACAAAAATAAGAAAACGGCATGCGTATAAGAAACAGGATTTTGTAAACTTTTTTTTTTTTTTCTTTTATGAGATTTTTAGGAAACTATTTTGAATAAGACACTTTAGAGAATATTACCACCAATGCATCCCTAAATGCACGTAACAATCTGTAATGATCTTAAGCAGAAACGATTCGATTATTGAATGTATAAGATTTAATGGTAAGAAATATATCTTTCACAAGAAATTCACTTACTCCAAAGTATACAATTCATTATAATGCACGAAAACGGAAGAATTTAGGAAGCACGACATTCAGAGAAGCATATGTATGCCAGATGGCTAATTAAGAAAATCAATGCGCTAGTTGAACTTAATAGAAGGTAATAGAAGTAGAAGTATAACGGAGGAAAAATCGTCAAAATACTTACCTAAAAATACTGTTCAGGTAGCAACGCTGACACGGGATCTTCTTCAAAGCTCACCGTGGAAGCAGATTTGAACTCGTAAATAACATGTAATGCAGCAACTCATCAAAGTCTGAATTAAAAATAAGCGATAGAGATTCAGTTTATCGTCGGATCGTGTGTAAAATAGGAAAAAATATAAATAGAAGAATCAAAATGATTGACTATAAAAGGCCTAATGTGATAAGATTGATGAACATGATGTATATATCTTCTTTGTTGTTGATAGTTAGGATTTTGAGACTGAATAATCGCGATCATTAGTTTATAGTAAACGACTTGCTCCTCGTTGACTAATTAAACTAGTAATTAGGATTTATGAGACTGAGCGATCAAGATCACTAGTTTAATGATTTTTTTTTTTTTTTTCCATTTCGACTAACAGAAATCTTAAAGCAATTACGATTTGTGCGACAGAGCAATCACGTTCATCAGTTTAGAAAAAAGATTAACCGATCAAAATCCAAAAGTAAATACCATTAATGAGATCAATCTAACATTGAAACATACCTGAGTTTGCAAACAACATAGTGAGGCACCGATAATTCCGAACCCTAATATCAACCTTCTCCTCGTCAGAGCAACTTTAGGAACGCCAAACTTTCGCGCGCAAACCTCTCTGTGTTCCTCCGTTCTTCGCCTTTATATAGAGAAGCAGAAGCTCACTGACATTTTACATAAATACCCTTCATTTACACAACTATTGCTGTAAAGCGAACTGGTGGGCTGGCTTTTGTTGCAAGCAACTCAAATCGGGGGCCCAAAGTTTCGAAAAAGGGCAGACTTGACTTAATAAAATTATTTTTTATTTTATCTATTAAAAAAATACCTTTTAAAAAAAATATTCTTTTTAAGTTTTCTAAAAAAATTTAAAAGAAAAATAATTAATACTTTAATTTTAAAATATCTTTCATATACTCTTAAACTTTTTTAAAAGTAAAAAAAAATAATAATAAATTAAATTAATTTTTTTTTAAAGTTAAAAATACGGTTATTTTACAAATATATCGTTAATACCATACCTAAAAAATACTCATAAACTTTCAAAACATTAATACTCTTCGACTTTAAAAATAAAAAATAAAAAATAAAAATTTAAATATGATATAAGAGGTGTTAGATGGTTTCTGTCCATATATTCATAGTAATAAAATTTCATTACTATTTTTTAAACACCGTAAGAATGGTAAAAAAAAATTAACTGTATATGTATTTTTAAAGTTTTTTTTTTTTTTTTTTTTTTTTGGGTAAAATACGATTTTTATTTTTTATTTTTTTGGTATTTTTATTAGTTAACAGGCATCCCAAATTATTTGATTCTGTTATTTTTTTCTATTCACTTAAAAACATTTTTTTTAAAATACATAAAAATTAATTAAAAAATTCACAAATTTTGTATTTTTTTTATTATAAATTACTCGTACCATATTTAAAAAATACTCATAAACTTTCAAAACATTAATACCTTCCAACTTTAAGAATAAAAAATAAAAATTTAAATATGATTTAAGAAGTGTTAATAGATGGTTTTCGTCCCTATATTTATAGTAATAATTTTTATTTTTAAAATTTCATTAGTATTTTTTAAACCAGATAAAATGGTAAAAAAAAAAATTAACCGTATAAGTTGAAATTTTTGAAAATTTACTAGTATTTTTAGATAAAATATAATTTTCATTTTTTTATTTTTTTTGGTATTTTTATTATTTACCACGCATCCCAAATTAGTTGATTGTCTGTTATTTTTTTCTAATCACTTAAAAACATTTTTTAAAATACATAAAAATTAATTAATTTTTTTTTGTATATATATATATATATATATTCATATTATAAATTACGCTGATAACACCCGCGGAGGTGTTTCTTCCATTTATTCGCTGCTCCTTCCTCTTCATCGCGCGGTAGCGAAGGGTTTCAAAAGAGTAATCTCAGATTCTCAAAAGACTCTTCGCGGATTGGAGCAATTCTCATAATACATGAATAATGTGTACAAACTCCATTGTTGTATAATCAAAACTTGCAAGCAGCATGATCCTCGCTCTCTCCGTAGCCTCCTTCTTTCCTGTGCTGCTGCAGCTCCCGAAAGCTTATCTCATGCTCGCTATGTATTCTCTCGGATTCCTTCTCCAGATACCTTCGCTTACAACACCATCATACGAGCACATTCTCATTTTTTTCCTTCTCATTCTTTGTCCTGTTTCTCTTCTATGCGGTGCAATGGCGTCCCCTGTGATAATTTCACATTCCCATTTGTTCTTAAGGCATGTGCTCGATTGCAAATGGATCTTCACTTGCATTCCCTTATTGTTAAATATGGTTTGGACTCTGATATTTTTGTGCAGAATTCATTGATGAGTGTTTATGGTTGCTGTGGGTCTGTTGAGATTGCAGTCAAGGTGTTTGATGAAATGTCTGAGAGAGATTCTGTTTCTTGGTCTACTATTATTGTTTCTTTTGTTAATAATGGCTATGCATCTGAGGCTTTGGCCTTGTTTAAGGCAATGCAGCTGGAAGATAAAGTAGTTCCTGATGAGGTAACCATGCTCAGTGTGATATCTGCGATCTCGCACTTGGGAGCATTAGAATTGGGTCGTTGGGTTCGGATGTTTATCGACAAGCTTGGCTTGGAAATTTCTGTTGCTTTGGGCACTGCGCTTATTGACATGTTCTCCAGATGTGGCTCCATTGATGAATCAGTTGTAGTATTCGAAGAGATGGCGGTGAGGAACGTGTTGACATGGACCGCGCTGATAAACGGGTTTGCAGTCCACGGGCGCAGTAGGGAGGCTTTGGCAGTGTTCCACAGCATGAGGAATTCAGGGGTGCAGCCAGATTATATAACCTTCTCTAGTGTCTTAGTAGCTTGTAGCCATGGCGGTCTTGTAAAAGAAGGTCGGGATATTTTCGAAACCATTTCGAAGGATTATCAGATGGTTCCTCATCTAGAGAATTATGGCTGCATGGTTGATCTTCTTGGCCGTGCAGGGCTGCTGAATGAAGCTTACGAATTTGTGGAAAGAATGCCAATGAAGCCGAATTCAATCATCTGGAGGACCCTTCTCGGAGCATGTGCGAATCACAACGATCTTGATATAGCTGAGAAGGTGAAGGCGAAGATCTCCGAGCTAAACTCGTCGCACGATGGCGATTTTGTGCTTCTATCCAATGTGTATGGAGCAGCTGGTAGATGGGTAGAGAAGACATCGGTGAGGAGTAGGATGAGAAGCAAAAGAATAGGCAAAGAACCTGGCTGTAGTTTGATTAATATAGACCAAGCGACTCACGAGTTCGTTTCTGGGGACGATTCTCATCCACAGTCCGAGGAGATAACGAAGTTCTTGAGCTCGATTATTGGGGATCTAAGAAACAGCGGTTACACGCCTCGCACGGAAAATGTACTACACGATATTGACGAGGAAGAAAGAGAGCATTCCTTGAGTTATCACAGTGAGAAATTAGCTGTGGCCTTTGCTCTTCTTAGTTTGAAAGATAAAAGGACGATAAGGATCATGAAGAATCTTAGAATTTGTCATGACTGTCATTCGTTTATGAAACATATTTCAGACAAGTATGAGAGGAAGATAATTATTCGGGATCGCAATCGATTTCATCATTTTGATAAAGGGTCATGTTCATGTCGTGATTATTGGTGAAAATTTTCCCTTGAGTTGTTCGCCAATCCTTTAATGGTTATTACAATTTCATGAACTTCAATTATAAATCAGAACCAAGAATCAACATATCACCGAATGGATGGTGATGTTTTCAACGTTGGACAAGTGAATATCATGTAAGAACTTGCTCTTAAGAGAAGGGGAATGATAACGAACTTCAATTATAAATCAACATCAGGAATTGGCATGTCGCCGCATGTGGATGGTAATGTTTTCAGTGGCAGACAAATGAATATCACGTAAGAACTTGTCCTTGAGGGAAGGGAAATGACAACGAACTTCAATTATAAATTAGCACTAGGAATCAGCAACAAATTGCCGAATGGATGATGATGTTTCTCGTGGGAGATAGGTGAGTGAATATCGCGTAAGAACTTGCCCTTGAGAGAAGGAGAACAACAACAACCTTCCATGCCCTTGAGGGAAGGAGAACAACAAACTTCCATTATAAATCGACATGTCGTCGAATGGCTGGTGATATTTCCCGTGGCGGATAGGTGAATGGCGAATAGGTGAATATCACATTGTTCTCAACCTTCCATGCCCTTGAGAGGAGAACAACAAACTTCCATTATAAATCGACATGTCGTCAAATGGCTGGTGATATTTTCCGTGGCGGATCGGTGAATGGCGAATAGGTGAATATCACATAAGAACTTGCCCTTGAAAGAAGGAGCATGTTGCCGAATTGAAAGTCATGTTTCCAGGAGGGCGGACGGGTGAATATCATCACGTAGGAACCTGCCCTGCGCTTGAGAGGAGGGGAACAACAGCTGAAACCCGTCTGAATATCACGTAAGAACCTGCCCTGCTCTGCCCTGCCCTGCCCTTCCCTTGAGAGGAGGGGGAGAAACCACTGATAAAACTATTTCTCATAAGTTGAAAATGATTGTATGAAAAATCCATTATAAAGGTATTCTTACTTTAATGTTGTGATTTGGAACCGATTTGGAACCGATTTGGAATGACCGCAAGGGATCCTAACAAACAGGCTCTTAGAACAGGTAATTTATTTCATACTAACAAACAGGCTCTTAGAACAGGTAATTTATTTCATACTGCATATGAATCCACCCAATAACAATCAAGACAAGCCGAAGATTTAATCAATACTCCAGCAGTGCAATACAGGCTATTATTTTGACGGTGGAGGCAATACACATCACTCTGAAGGGGAAAAAATTCAAACAATTATGGCTCAATTCTGGTATCATTCTGCTAAGATGAGTATCAATGCCCACTTCAAAAAGTGAAGCATTCACGACACTAAAATCTAAATCATTTGATTTGTGCATTGTTTGGAGAAGGAAAAATCTGGCCAATAAAATGAGAACTCTCAATACAAAGAATTACTGGGAAACGGCATGTAAAGAACTATGATTTCTGTATAAAAAAAAAACTATAATTAAGCAAAGGATAGAGATCTACTGTGCTTTGTTTTTGAAGGACAGCCCTTTGGCTGGTTGATGATTGAGCTTTCAATCTATAAAACGTCCCGGGTTCGATGCTGGAAGCTCTTCGTTATGCTTCTATTGAGCTTATCTGTAGAAATCATTAGGAATCACCAATGAACTGCAGCCGATGAATTTCACGATTTGTCTCTCTGCTCATTTTTCCATGACTTTTTTGCAGCTTCGGCTGATGCGTCGTTGGAATCCCCGTCCTTCGGTTTGGAGAAGAAAGGATCCCATTCATGAGGTCCGACTTCCCGCTGCCCATCTTCCAGTAACGCATATTTCCAACTATTTTCCTCGATGAAATTATCGTCGGTGTGTCCTTCAATGATATCCTTCCTCAACTTCGTAACCTTGTCGATAATAGCTTGCACTGAGACATCGAAAGCATCCTTCAAAGTTTCCAACTTCGAGCGCGGATCAGCGTATACCAATATTGGAATCAGATTGATTACCTCCTCCTGCCTTAGTTTCAACTGCCCAGGAGAAATTTGAGCAAGCCTTTCTTCTATGCTAACGTTTCTCTTGCGGATATCATCCTCTGGGATGAATACAGAATATCTTGTGAAATTCTTGGGGAGATGCCAAGTATATTGGGTGTATGCTGACCCTGGATGGAAGAAGACGGGTATGCAACCGGCTAACATAGCATCGAAAGCTGATCTTCTGGTATACGAGTCGCCCTGAGGTTGCAGGCAGAAAACGGAGCTCTGAAACATTTGCATTATACTGCTCGGAGAATGACACTTGCTCTCCCCAAAATCACATTCGAGCAGCTTGCAGACCTTAGATTTCTTACATTGATCAATAATCTGCCCTCTTATTGACTTGGGATTGTCGGGGCGTGGAGCACCTGCGAACGAAAACATCCATTTCCGTTCAAGTTTTCTCATCCGATCCTGCCAATTAAACACATCAGCATCCTTTGCAGGATGGAAATATGTTGGGTATGGAATACCAAAATCATTGGCATTCCATGGACTTGATTCAACAACAAGCATGGACATGTTCTTAGCAGCAGGTAAAAACAGAAGCTTATTTCCCCAATCCGTTTCTTCCTCGGAGAGCCTTCTGAAATCCCACGTTATCCTACCTGCAACAAGGAAATGATCTCGACCACCCATAATGCCCCATTCGGGTCTTTTTTCGAGCCAGTTGACCAAATCAAGTGAAGCTCTATCTCTAGTGGATATGTTATATCCCCAAAGGTATCTCGCGATATCGAATCCAGCATAAAATGGCACAAAAAAAGCAGCAGCAATGGAAGAATCCTTAGTCAAACAATCATATTGCTTCATTCGATTACTGAAAACCACATCGACGGCAAACTGATTTGTGGCATACCACCCTGTATCAGAGAACACTCCTTCCACATTTTCAAGTGGTGGACCAAGCCCAGCGTTAGTTGTGAACTTACACATATTTGTCCAAAGGCTTAGACTCTTACACTCCCTCAGCATATCCTCATTAAAGCTAGAAGGAAGGTCGTGAACAAATATATACCTCCCACCGCATGGATCGCTCTTGTTTTCAACAGTTTTCAATGCCTTAACAAACGAAAATTTCTGAATCTCAGGTTCGGCGGTGGATTTAGGCTGCCGGTCCACAGGCTGAGGAGGCTGAGGAGGCACGCGGATTGATATCACATCGACTTTCGGTGCATCGACGACCTGTGAAGGGGCAAATTTCCGGACTACAGGCAAGTCTACAGGTCCATCTTGGGGGTTTAATTTGATTGATTCATCATCAGATTGACCTCCAAGCACCGCAAAATGGAAGTACAACAATAGGATCCAGAAGAACGCCGACAATAACACAAGAAAACAAAGCCGAGAGTTCTGATTCTTCCCGGCTCCTCGCTCCATATGCTCTGACGGGGCAATCACTAACGGCCGGCGTCTCATAGGATGGAACCACAAAATCCGGCTGACCGCCAGGTCTCCATTTCGCAAGAATCACTCACAAATCCATCTCGAAATCCCAAAATCAACAAGAAAAAACACCAATACCTTGCTCGACTGCGCTTGATGCGAAATAACCGATCGAAATTACTGTCGAACGCAATACAAAAGCAAGAATTAGAAATAGAAACCACAGTATTCAAACTTCGTGACATAAACGTCGGGCAATGCGACCGAATCTAGCGAGATAGAAAGAAGATGCAACACAATAAAACATTGCACTACATGAAATCCCGAAACACAACAAATTATTGGATGCTTTGGTCGGTTACATAACATTTAGAAGCAAAATACAGAAACAAGAACCAAATTGAAAAGGAATCAGAATAGATCTTCAGAGAAGTGCAGCAATGGCGGAAGAAAACGAGATTTAGAGACTTACAGAGTAATCTAGATGATGCTTCCGAGAATTAGGAGTGGAAATTCTCCCCGATTCTCGAGAGCTTTTCTATGAGCTGTGCGAGAGAAAAGGGAACGAATTGGCAACGTAATATAAGAGAAATGGTGACGCCTTGAACCGTGAAGGGAAGGGATCCGCCCACGGTACTGGACTGTTGTCGGTAGTCGCTACGATTGCGCCACGTGTTACTAGTCCACGTGTTCGCCTGTAAAAATTTGATCCCATGCCGGAAATTCCGAAAATAATTTTTTAAAACAAAAATGTCTAAACTTTTTTTTTTTTTTACCTTAATAAATTCTTAAATATTTTATTTTATTTTTAATAAATCTGATAAATTTAAATTTTAAAAGATTAATTAATTTATTCTATATATATTTAAATATTATATTTAATAAAAATATAATAATTCAAGTCTACTGGCCGATAATGTTTATTTTAGCGCTTTATGTCTTGCTATCAACCTTACAGTTTTAAAACTGTCTATTACGAGAAGTTTCTAAACCCTTATTATAAATAACGTTTTGTTTTTCTCTATCGACGTGGAATCTCACAATCCACCTCGACCTCGTCTTAAAAAAGTTAAAATAAAAAATGGGTAAAATTGAAAGTTTGCAAACAAAATTAACCAACAATATAATTTAAATGGAAATATAAATAAATACACGTGGAGTGCAGGGATTGGATATAAAGTTGGATCACCTTCACTCGGTTTGTGGGGTCCACTAGCAGGATTTGACTGGTTTTATTATTTAATTGCTATAAATATTTTTAAGCATTACCATAATGGGGAGAAAAAAGAAATTAACATTTAATTAAAAAAGATTTATATTTTTTATATAGAAAAAATGTGATTTTATGTTGTGGAAAAAATAAATTTAAATGGTTTAGGGTTTTTAAATCCGACGGTAATCCCTCGAAAAAGAGTTCGCCCCAGATTCACTGCTAGCAGATATTGTCCAGTTTGAGCTTTCTCTCTTAAGCTTCCCCTCAAGGCTTTAAAACCCGTCTACTAGGGGAAGATTTCCATACTCTGATGAATAGTGATTTGTTTTCCTCCCCAACTAACGTGGGACATGACAAAGATGTGAGGTGTTGGTTGGAAAATGTGTTTAACATATACCTTTTTAACAAACAAATTTTGTTGTTATTTCAAACAATTTATTTGTCTCTAGTGAAAATATTTAAAGGCTGCATTTAATTTTTTCAAATAATTCATTTGTCTTTAGTTAATATTTAAAGATTTTTTTTTTTCCAAAAATATCATTCCACTTCATTATTCTCAAGTGTAATTAAAAAAATCATAATTTTTTAAAATATATAAATATAATATTTCAAAAGTTGCACGTTGGCCTTTCATAAATATTTCAAAACTACCGTTAAGTTTTTAGAATGTTATAGTGGAATAGTAACTTTTCTTTTATTATTTAGATGCTCCATTTCAACAAAGAAGAGCAGATATAGGGACTCGGGTCAGGGAGGGGGATAAGCAAAGTCTTATCCCTGAGAATCGAATTCTTAACCAACACTACTTTTGAGATTCTTTGGACCCATGACGACCAGTGCTCCTAAGATCATAGAAGCAAGGGACTTTTCACCGGGTGAGCACACTTATTCAAAAATCCTTAAAAGCCTATAAGAATATTGGACAAAAAAAAAAAAAATTAAGATCTAGAAAAACGTGGTGGTAGCTTAAAACTTAAACCCTAAAAATTAGGACTTGAACAGTGTAACAATGATTGGGAATGAAAAACAATACCTCAACATCGTCAAACCATTTTAGGTTATTGTCATACCATTTCACGTCCCAAGACAGTGATCTGGAATAAAATTTTAGACCCAAACGCTACTGCACCGTTCTAGGTTGCAAACCCTAAACCATGTCGGTAATGAATATAGTAACTTAAAAATAGTACTCGGATTTCTATTTTTCAATTGAATTATGTTTGGATCGAGAATTCTTACCGAATTTATTTGATTAAATAATTTGATTTTAAACTAAAGCAATTTAGATTCATAAACGATCACATGATGATGAAATTCAATCATCGGTTATTATAAAGAATATTTAGAGCCCATCACATAGCTTTTTATTACATAGCATCAATAATGCGTTTTTACTGTTTTAGGATCTCCACTGTCCTTCAACTGAAAAGGCATTATTTGTTATTTAAAAAGACACTATTATTGGAAAATTATTAATAAAATAATGTTTTTTTTTCTTTTAAGAGATTATATATAGCTCAGGCCTAGTGCCACGTGGCAGCATGTGAAAGGCTCAAATTTTATATTGATTATAATCCCGAACAAATGAGAATTATGAACGTTAGACTTAGAAGCTATCGTATTTAAGTTGGGTCAACCTTTCTTTTAAGGGTTCTATACTTTGGGCGGTTTTTGTTTATGATGATGTCATGCCTCTTTTTTGGCTGAGTGGGTCAAGTTAACCTAAACAAGGATTAGATCTTCTCAAATGATTTTAATAAAGAGTGCAAGTGTTTCATATAGAGAGTTTGTGTTCAATAAATTCGTGGGAAAATCCTGAATTTGAGACTTTCTATACCAAAAAATATTCTTAAACGAAGGAATTCGTAGCTCAAAATCAATGTAACGACCCTAAATATTTTACTTAACCTACGATTACTTCGGTACACATATCATGAACATTTAATGTAAAAATATCTCAATTGAAACTTTATAATAAAATTAACCTTAATCTTGCATGAGGCATTTTAATGCTTTTAAATAAACTAATGCAAATGAAAATAAAACGAAAAATAATACAAAATGAAATGCTCTATACTAACCTATATGCTACTAAATGGAAATGCAATTAACATATACTAACTTATAGTCTACTAAAGTTTAAATACTAAACTATCCTAAGCATGTGCCACAGTCTCGTAGATGCGATGCCATCGGCGGTATAGGGGAGCCTTGCCTTTACCTGAAAAGTAGAGTAACACATGACTTGAATATTTTAATAAATACTAAGTAAATGACCCCTATCGGGGTTAAATGCAAACACACAGAGTTACATGCATGTGACCTCATAACAATCTATTTTCCTACAGTGGCTATTCTAACGGACAACTTGGATGTGTAATTAATTTTCCTACACATGGTCCACACGTGCGAATATGGACATACTAGTTGGTTTGCACACCTCCTCGGCCCCTTTCTGGTTGGGCGAACATTCTCTAGTAGCTGTTGATGTTGGACACCCGTTAGGAGTAGCGACCTTCATGGCAACACTATACAAATATAATGAACGTTTCCCTACCTAGTAGCATACACATCTGTACTATCGTGAAGGAATAGGGGTATTCCTCGATGCATGAGCACACAATAATGTATGAGGCCCCAATATTTTCCATTTTAGTTATCATTAATACAACCCCCTTAGCGTCTTCTCATATCATATCATAACGTTCGCCAAAATTTTGACAATCCACTGGCGTTTTCGAGTTTTTTTTTTCCAATCGTTACAGTCAACGTCATGAAAATCTTATATTTCCTGAAGTGGTTCTACCTCATACTCCTTTTAATAGAACTTTAGCTCTAGCTGATTGTAGTGAGTCGAGTAGCTTTATTTTTCTAAAAGTTTCGATATTTCTCACATTTCACAAACGTTTCAAAATGACCCTCGAAATAGAAACCTTCTAGTACTTAAAAGCAAATATTAGAATCTGAAATAGGGTTTACATTCTTATAATTTGACCTAAATCTTTTTCGTCTACGCACTGCATTGACAAAAGAATCCATCCTGTTTCTTGAATTTATAGCTTTTTTTCCTCCCAAAAAAGTCAACCCTCCAATAAAGACCTTGACTTTTTTCTCGTCATTTATTTAAAACACTAATCATGATTATATTTTAATGGGTTGGGAAAGAAATCAACACCTATTCTCTCCCTTTCTCTAATTGGGATTTTCTTTCTATGACAATGGAAGTCATTACTTTTAGCTTCTAGAAGGGAAGTGAACAACTTCAGGAAGGAAGGAATGTTTCAGCCAATTTGCATCATAAGGGTAGGTAAATCACAAACACCTCTATTTTTGACTTCTTGCCAAAACAATGAAAACAAAAAGCAAAAAGGTGGAGTAGTCAAAGTTGACCATAGAATTGCAGAACAAGGACAATAACCCCAGAAATAGAGTAGCCAAATAAAAAAAAAAAAAAAAAACATCAAAATGGTAAATTGTTAGTGGTTGTGATGTCCCACGTTGGTTGGGGAGTAGAACAAACCACCGTTTATAAGGGTGTGGAAACCTTCCCCTAGTAGACGCATTTTAAAGCCTTGAGCAGAAGCCCGAAAGGGGAAGCCCGAAAGGGGAAGCCCAAAGAGGACAATATTTACTAGCGGTGGATCTGGGTAGTTACAAATGGTATCAGAGCCAGACACCGGACGATGTGTCAGCCTTCTCGCTGTTCCTCGAAGGGGGTAGACACGAGGCGGTGTGCCAGTAAGGACGCTGGCCCCAAAGGGGGTGGATTTGGGGGCGATTCCACATCGATTGGAGGATGGAAAGAGTACCAGCGAGGACGCTGGGCCCCGAAGGGGGGTGGATTGTAATGTCCCACATGGGTTGGGGAGGAGAACAAACCACCATTTATAAAGGTTTGGAAACCTTCCCCTAGCAGACGCGTTTTAAAGCCTTGAGGGGAAGCCCGAAAGGGAAAGCGTGGAAACCTTCTCTTAGTAGACACGTTTTAAAGTCTCGAGGGGAAGCCCGAAAGGAAAAGCCCAAAAAAGACAATATCTGCTAGCGGTGGATCTGGGTTACAATGTCCTTAGACTCATTAATGATTGATTTTGAGCATTAAATTATAGCCCTAAGTGTTGGGAAGGCCATGTCTGCAGGTATGGAATCATCTTATTTTATTAAATTTGGTTGGGTGGGCTGCCACTAAGCTCACAATACTTAATCATTTCACATTGTGGGGTGACTCTCTTCTTAGGCCTAAATTCTGCATTTGGACTTATAAATTTTGATATTTTATAATGTTTAGAGATTATTCTTGTAGTTTTTGAACGGTCAGGATTCAATCATCCTCTCTCTTGTATGAATACTTAAGCTTCAGATGTTAATATAAC